TCATGAAAACATGATAGGAGATGTGTGAAATGTAACAAAAACCATAGCAACAAACCAAAACCCAACCTCAGCAGATTAACCAGATAACTCCCATACATTGATATTACCTCTACCATTAAGAAAGAGGAATTAAAAAGCTTACAATGTAGAGAACCAATTTCAAGGAACTAAATTAAGATGCAAACCTGGCCCATGTAGGCACAAATTTCTTGTTTTGTATTCTATCCACTTCATCCTCTTCATCATCTGAGCACTGGTATGGTGATATATCATATGACTGTGGCGCACTGGTTCTATGTGTTGGTTTATCATTGTCAACATTAGGTGTTGAACTTTCAGCCACGTCAACGGCACTTACCTGCAAAGACCATCAAAGCTAATAAAAAGGGAGATTTCACCAAAACCAAGGCGTCTGAAAGGTAGATGAGCCAAATATATCTATACATATAAGCCCAGATTATGCTACTTGGAACCTAATGCTGTATGCACTATGCATCCCCCCTGCCCCCACCCTTTCTACATTAAAAAAAAAAAAAAAAAACAACAAAAAAAAAAAAAAAAAACAAAAAAAAAAAAAAGAAACCAATTAAAACAGTTCATAGTGCAACAGAAAAATGATTTAACCTTTCCAACGGCAGAAGATCCCGTTGACATCTTGTGATCAATTAAGGTTGAAAGTCCATCATCAGTTTCTCCTCTATCACTCCCAACGACCAAATTATTCACTGCCTTCTCTGAATCTTCTCTTTCATATCCTTTGTCAAGTTGTTTTTCTGTTTTCTCATTAAGTCTTTCTCTGATGAGCTCTTCCTTCCTATAATGATCACAATATTTAAGCCAACAATGATAGACGAATAATGGTTGAGACTATACAAGGACAAGGCCAAACCTCTGGTGCACATCTTGAATCCTCATTCCAAGCTTGAAGTTTATCCTCTGCTTGCTTGTGCTGTAACCGTGCTTCTTCAATACGCTGTTTTTTCCTTTCCTTTTCTTTCTTTTCTTCTTCTTCTCTCTGTCTTTTCTTAGCTGCATTTTCAGCCTCCCTTTTCTTTCTTTGTTCCTCTTTGAGTTTTCTTTTCAGTTCCATTTCCTTCATATTTTTTTGCTCCACTCGTGCTCGTTCAAGCTTCATTGCCTCTTTCTTCTGATTGCGTTCATTTTTCTCTTATTTCAGCAGCACGTTTGGCAGCTTCAGCAGCTTGGAGAGCCTTAACTTTTACATCTCTCTTTTCTGCACATCAATACAAAGATATCCATGTATGAGCTTTGAAAATAGCAAATAGCCTATGTCAGAATGTTTAACAGTTCGATACACATTTTAAAATTTAGATCCCTATAGCATATAAATGAATTAAGCATAACAAAATGCTTCATAATAGCACCAAACACCCTAATTGCACAATCAGATGTATAATAAAAGACCAGAACCAATCGCCTCTCTAGTAAATACTTTCAGAAGGATAATGAGGTAAATACTTTGGCACTAAAATATGGACAAGAAGTTCCAACTTCTAAGCCATTTAAAAACAAGGATAAGGACGATGAAATGAAGACGGACAGGGATAGATACCATGAACTATCATGTGAACTTGCTAATAATATCTAATTCCCAGTGGGTATGCAACAAGGATAAGAAGTACACCAAGTACCATACATTGAGCTCCTATAAAAGCACTTAAAAAAATAAAGCGTAAATGTATTACCAGGTAGAACAGCAGCTGCTAGTTTTTGTTGAACAAGTGGCACAAAGGATTTTATGTTAGAGACAATATTAGTGCGCTTCTGTTCCTTCTCTGACAAACTTTGTCCTCTGCTTCTTAAACTCAATTTTCCAGATAATTTTGATTTGCTGAACCTGCTACTGTGTGGTTTTGAGTGCTTCTTGCTGCTGTAAAGCACCAACTGAAAAACCATTGTTCTCCTTCCCAAACCTTGTCTGCATGCTTCTTTTCTGACCCATGCTACTTTTCTTGCTGTCATTATGTGTTTCAAAAGTGCCGATTTCTGTGCTTCCAGATCCTTGACTACATCTCTTGTCTGCATCATCTGGAGCCAGAAAGCTTTCATTCTGCAAAGCTATATCACAAGATGACTCCTTGTACACACCACTTCCTGTACTTGAATCAGTTCTCTTGACATCAGTGCTCACAGAGTCTAAACAATCTCTCTCATCCGCATGATCTGGAGCCAGGGAACTAATAGACTGCAAAGTAATATCAAAAGATGGTTCAATGTTGTGCTATTTTTCATAGTTGATGAGTTCTTTTCCACACCAGTGTTAACAGCATCATTCACTTCTTCCTCACCACTTTCAGGATCTCCTGAATGGGGAAGCAAGTAAGCTCCAGATTACTGCTACCTAGCTTATCTGAACTAGCAGATTTTGACGTAGCACCTTCAAAGCCCTTCCCAACAGGTGACAGAAAAGGTTTCTTGATTTTCCCATCCATATTGTCTACCAGGAAAAGAAAAAGAGATCGGAATGAGACTTCCCAAGAAAAGCACTTCCACTGGGCAGCAGATTACTTGGTAGGTCAATGTTCTCCAGCAGCCCGTTAGGTACTGAAGAGTATATACCTGGTGCTAAGTACATTTTGCATCCACTAGTAAAGGGAGATACAGGGGTGCCAAAAGTTGCAGATTTGCAAATTATCTCAGACAAGCTGTTCCTATCCACTTTGTTATCCAGAATGGGAGCTTCTTCATGGGTAAATTTATCTCTGTAACTTTGTGCGTCAACTGTATTCTCACCTATAACAAAACGATCAAACTCTGGTATAGTTTGATCGACTTCAGCCACTTTCAGAAACCCTGGTATAGTTTTGATCCACTTCAGCCACTTTCATACACTCCATTAGTGGAGAACCAATAGATAACTTAAATTCATGCACTTTGTGATGAGAATTTCTATGATCCACTGCCATTTTCGTATCCATCAACTTCAACTACAGTGTCACTATCAACCAGATCTTGATGATTCACCAAACCACCAGACACCCTTCCACGGCAAGTTGCAGCAGTTGATGCATTTGTTTCCACTTTTCCATCCCAAGTCAAATCTGATGGCTCTGCAATAATACTTTGATTCACATTTGAAACATCAGATTTTGAAAGTTTTTGGTGTTCATGTGCGGAGGACGAATCAATTCTCCCTAAACTAGCTTTATCCTGCCAGGTAAACATTAAGAGATTAATCTCATAGCAAGGTAAAATAACGTTAGACAAAATGTCAACTCTGTTGTAGTGATAGAGGTAATTTACAGCATACTCCATTCTATAGTATATCTCTCTTAAGTAGCTGAACTTTTTCATCTTATTTAACGCTTGAAATATCAATGCATCACTATAGAATACCAGTGCAATAGTATTTGTTAAATTTAAAAATCAATACAATAACTATCTACTTTATAAGTGTACATACTTATGAGAAATGTATAACTGGGGTGGGTGTATTAAATACAACCAGAATCTGGGTTAACAAAATAAATAATGCATGGAACATGCTACATGTTAAACATATTGTGATGAAGTACTATATCATATTAGAAGGTTAACAATAGATAGCATGGGTGAAGCAGTACCTTTCCACACCCCACCTGAGGAGTCAACACTTGTTCCTTGCTCGGTAAAGAAGGGACACTATGATCAGTCACCTTGATAAGAATAGCAACAATCTGATAAAGCGGCGCCTGAATTATGAGAAATTGAGGGTTCCTGAGGCAAAGGAAAAATGTTTTCTTTCTCACCCCAAGCAGATATATTTGATACACTTTCACTGATAGCTTTGTAGGAACTTGTCCTCAAAGTTGGGCTGGAAGATTTGTTGGGGTTCTGATATTCGATTTTCCTCCGCTTATAACATGGCCAAGAATTATCCATGTCATCTCTACAATTGAAGTTAGGAAGCATGTTTACTTCAGCTCCAAGCTCAAATAGTTTAGAACCACCAACCTGCTTTTCATGGCTTGAGGAGGAAGCTCGTACAGCTGCAATATTACAAAGGCTCCCTGATTGCACCATCTCTACAGAAGGAGCAAAATCAGTCACCGATTTCAATGATCCAACTGGGGTTCTGCCACGACTCGGCCGAGCAACTTCTTCAGTATCAGTGTCAAAAGAAGAATGTAACACATCCCCACAATGTTGCAAAATCAAGGACTGTCCGGGTGTTTTGTCACTTTTAGAATTAACTTGATGAGCAATTTCACTACCTAAAACCCCATGGGCTTCGTACTCTAATGACTCAGGACATGCTCTAGAAGAAGATATACCAGGATAAGTGCTAGACTTCGTGTTAGCTCTGGCTCTCTCTTCTAATATGTCCTGACTAACAGAATCTGATAAATGGCTGGGGATGTCGCCTAAATTGCCTTCTTCAACTTCATCAAAATCAAGTTGCTTGGGTTTTACAGACACCTCCCTAGACATGCTTCTCCAAAACCTTGTTTCTCTTTCTTCTGCTTCATCATCTTTAGAGCTTGTAATTTTACCACTGCAAGGCTTGCTGCTGTTTCCAATGGAAGTTTCCACCTGCTGTGTCAGGCCACTCTTGGTTCTAGTTACTTGACCAACGCAAACATCAACACTCTTTACATTAAGAGGGTGAGCTCCATCAAAGGTTTGTTGGGAACTGCTTCTGGATCTTGTAATCCTACCACCATAAACAATGTTGTGTTTCTTCGATCTTCTGATTGTCTCCCATTTCTACCTCCTTTGCCCCATAATCTGTTGAATTTGAAAAAGAACCACCTAATTGTTGGCAACTGCCTTTGGATCTAGTAATCCTATTACCATAAATGTTGCTGTTTTCTTCAATCTTCTGATTGTCTTCCAAATCTACCTCCTTTGCCTCACTAACTGTTGAATGAGTAAAAAGACCGTCTAAGGCATCATCAATTTTCTCCTTGTGTGTAGAATTTTCAGTTACTGCTTCTTCCTTGGAGCAAATAAGAGGATCAAATCCTGTAGCTTGTGCCAAAAATCCAACACAAGCATCAACACTATCCTCTTTGTTTGAGCAATTTCCAATTGCTACTTCTTCATTGGAGCAAAATTCAATAGGTGATGCAGAAGGCCCATCCAATTCAAGAGATCTTTTTAAATCAAATTGTTCATCATATCTACAAATTTTTCCATCATGAAAAGAACCAACATCATTCTCCATCCCTAAACGGCTTTTAGTACTTGCTTTTGCACTATTCCGAAGCTCCAGTGCCTTTTGACGGGACCTGGATCTCTGTATTCTTGCAAGAGATTGCTCAGGTTTACAGACATTTGAGAACCTTGTATCAATCTGATCTTCAGGAGACATAGGGACATAACTGAATGTGTCCATGCCATCATCAACATGAGATGGAGGAACAATGTCAACCGTATCTTCAATATCATCAATGTGACACGGAGGAACAATGCCGGCCCTATCTTCAGTGCCATCAACATGACAAGGAGGAATAGTGTCAGCCATATCTTCAGCACCATCAACATGACAAGGAGGAACAATGCCATCCACGTCTTCAGTGCCATCAACATGATGCAGTGGAGCAACACTATCTTCATCAAATCCATTGCTAGAGGCACATTTTCCAGCACAAGTTTCGTCTGGTATACCACTATTTGCTTCTGCTACAACTGGCTGATCATATAAAAAACTAGGACCACTGGTGTAAGAGGCAAAAGGTCCTGGTCTTGGAAGCAACAGTCCTGAAATAAGCTCTTCCTTGTTCAATGCTGAAAAAATAATTAAGCATATTAGCAAAGTAAGATTAACAACCAAAAGTCCTGAAATAAACTGAAGAAATGGCGACAAATTGATGCCAATTGCAAAATCAATCAAAACCTAATCAAATAGCAACAAATGTAACATCAAAGCTAAAAATTTCCTACAATAAACATAATTTCATTAAAATTGCTATGGAATAAATGAATTTCATGCCCTAATTTATAACTACACTTCCGGCAAACAATAAACCCCCAAATTTTGAGCATAAAACCTCAAAATTACGAAAAAAAAACCACAAAATTCACCAAAAATCGAGGAAAAAAATAAATACCAGTGAGATCTGAAGTTGAAGATTGATTATCGGAATTGAGGAGCCAAGAAGGAGGAGGAATGCCCTGAATTAAGAGCTTGGAAAGCAGATGTTGGTCATAGAGTTGCTTCTGGTGGTTCAATTTCTCGATAATCTGCCTCTTTCGGTCGAAAATTTGCACAAACAGCTTCTCAATCGTCGACATTTTAGGGTTTATTCAGTGAAATTCCATGAATTTGGGGAAATTTTTGAATGTTTAGGGCTGAATTCGATTGTTGTGGAGGAGAGAGAAAGTGAAGGATGGAAGCGCGGACAAGGATTTCAAATTTTTTACGGAGCATCAAAAAATGGTGGAATTTGATTTTTTATCATTACAACATTATCGGTAAATTTTTATGAATAAAAATTAAATTTACTAGTGGATTTCTTTTAAAATAAAAATTCATTTTTGTGATTTTTTTTTAATATAACAAAATTGATTAGTTGACAAAACACAAAAAAAAAAAAAAAAAAAAAAAGTATGTACTATATTTATCTAATGGAGTATGAAACTCTTACGAAGTAAGTCTATTATATTGATATGGATTTAAACCCCTTAATCCAATAAAGAATCTAAAATCACACAAGTAACACAAGCCTTCCGAATTCCTTCAGAAAATAGAACAATTTTAAGAACAATGAACCGGATATGACTTGGAAAATGACCACTTATGGAACGAATTCAATGTCCATTCAAACTACCTAGTCCTAGACCAAACCTGGAACTAAGTATTTTGATAAACAAAACTTAGACTACTCCTAGAACTAAGAATTGAACGTTCTAATTATTAAAACAACTCCTTGAATTGAAAACTAGCAACGAAAAGTTTAAACAAAGGTAAACAATTTGTATTGAAATTAATCTGATTTTCTATATTACCTTATTCTACTCCAACAAGGATTAGGACAAACCCCTAACTTTGTTCCCTAAGTATCCTAATTAGAATAGAATTACTACTTGTAACTAGATTAGGAAAACTTATCCTAATCAAACTCTAATTAACTAACTAAAAACTTTCCTAGTAACCTTAGGAAGTTTATATCTTAGCAAAACTCTAGAAATAAACTAAGTATAAAAAATCATTCTTGACATATAGCCGCCACCACACCACCACACGCGCCATCCAAGGTGACACACGCCACACCTGCGTGTAGCTAGGCTCGATCCGGTGCCGAGAAGCCGGCGCATAGGCCCCATCTCGGCGCGTTGCCACCATGCTCCTCACCGGAAGTGAACTGCTCTATTTCTTCTTCTTTGCAAATCATGCTTCCTTCTTTCCCTATTGATCTAGTGGAACTTTCCTTGTTTATTTCTTTGTTTGGGCAGCCCATAATGAAGCTACTTGGACCTTTTAAAAGTGTCTTGGACCCTATAAAAGAATTAGCCTCTTGATTCACATCATATATACGAGTACTCGAGTGTAGGTAACAAATTAACAATTGAATCAGATACTCTTGATTTTGTGTTTTTAGTCGTTGACACGACTTTACGGATAGTCGGACACTACAGTGTCTAAAGTATTAGTGTATGCCCTATCCTACTATCCTTTAAACTTATTACGGGGCAAATTTTATTGATTTCTAATATTGGTCAAAATTGATTCAAATTTAATTACGTATATATTTTACAAGTGTAATTTATTTTAACAATTTAATAATAAAAATCAAAATTGACAAAATTTATGTTCAATAATTTTTCAGTGTTAGATATATCTATATTTCAAGGCATTTTTCTAAATATAGCATAAAATTAAGAACAAAAGAAGTACTCTGTATTTAACTAAATTTCTTTATCTAGCTAACCAACTTGAAGTTAAATTTTATCCTGTAAATTGTTGTTTGACCCACTACGGGCAATTTAAATGTTATACACATGAACTTGAGTGATTGTATGCACCCCAATATACATGACATGTTCTAGATGAGGTTGAAAACCTCTTTATTTTATTTTAAGCATTTTAGCTAGAGATCAAAACTTCAATGTATGAATTCAAACCAAGGCTGGTTTTGGGCCTGTGCAAGCAGACCTGCTGCAAACCTCAAGATGAGGTTGAAAACCTCTTTATTTTATTTTATTTTATTTAAGCATTTTAGCTAGAGATCAAAACATCAATGTATGAATTCAAACCAGGGCTGGTTTTGGGCATGTGCAAGCAGACCTGCTGCATAGGGCCTTAATTTTATTTTATTTTTATTTTTTTTAGTTTAAGTAAACGAAACTTTCCTTCCCCTCTCCCTTAATGACAGTCAACCTCTACACCTATCAACAGTAATTAAACTTCCTTGTTTTTAACGGAAAGATTAAAGTTATTCTGAATCTTTAATTTCCTTTCATTTCTCCCTTTTTAAAAATAAAGCCCTCTAATTACTCTCTTAATTCTTGTAATTCCCACAATAAATTTCTAACCTTCCCTATTTTTTCCTATAATTTCTGCAATCTTCTCCATAACACTAGTACTAGTATGTAACACCCCCAAATCTCCCTCTACGGAAATACCAGTATAATACGTATAATTATACCGTAGAGATAGACTTAGGCGTATTGCGTGATTACGCAAGGCTACTCAAACTACTAACCAAACCAATACTTTGCAGCGGAAACTTCAATACTCTTTCTTTATTAATAAAAACCATAAATAGTAACCATTGTCACGAGTACTCATATTTAAAAACAAGGACCAACATTCCTAATCTAGATGAAGACATTCCTAGGACTCCCATATGCATAATTTCTAACTCCACCTGAAATTAGTCAACACTGCTTACCATTAAGGTAAACGGGGCGAACCAAAACAAAGAAGAAATACGGATTAGCAAAATATGCTAAGTACGATAAGTGCAATTGAAGTTTGTGTCGAAAGTCCTCTCGATATTGAGGCTCAGGCGGCGTGTCCCGTGGTGATAGCGGCGGTGCAAGATAGTTTCGTTGGAGGGGAGGCCATGAGTTATGTGGCCCTTGGTCTGAGGGGAGGTTTGTTGGGGTTGTTCACCCCAAGTCCCACATGGAAAGATTGAGGAAGTAAAGAGCTCCTTATAAGTGGAAGCACGCTTCAATAGTATGAGACCTTTTGGGAAGGTGCCCAAAAACAAATCCGTGCAGGCTAGATCAAAAGCGGACAATATCATACTAATGTGGGGTGGAGTGTGCGTGTGACCCGTCAAGGTGGATGACCCGGGCCCAACATCACCCAAGCCGAGACATGGCCGAAATCACGTCCTCATCCGTCATCACCTTGCGATCACTACAAAATTTACACTTTATCATAAGCCTCGCTCTTTGGTGATATAATAGATGAACTCCTTGGCACAATCCTGGACCATTCCTTTAGACCTTCGGTAATATTGGCGTTCGAGGGAAGTATGCGACGCATCAACTGCACGACTTTGGGTACAGGCACGTAATGGCCTTTTTCAGATCATAGGCACGAGGAAGGAAACCAGTTGGTGTGTTAAAAACAAGAGAGCCATTTTCAGTCAATGTAAGATTGAATTGGTTCCTAAATGAAAATGTTGACATATTCTTAAATCAATTAGACATGCAAATATACGGCGTAAAATCGAATTAATGAGAAAATTTTCGGCTTTTTATTGAAATAGGACTCTCCTAATCTTATGTTTATGGAAAAAAAAAATTATCGATGAGAAAAAAATGATTGCCAAATTTCACTTATACAATCTTTGTTTTTTTTTTATTTGAAATTTTAAGACCATTTATTTATTGTATTTTATTTTATATTAAATTATTTTATAATATATTTGAAAAAATAATTTTTGATAATGTAAATTCAGATTAAAAAATTGAAATCTGAACTCCCAATAAACTAAGTTTTGACAAAATTATTTCAAATTAAAATCAATAAATCTAAGTTATATTCGTACAAATTAAAATGTTTTACAAAAGTTCAGATAAAATAAAGTAACTAATATTAAAAGTCATTCCAATTTAAATCATGAAAATAAAATTTTAAAAGTCTTGTGAAAAAAGGTGGATAAAAACAAGTGTCGGACCAAAGGATAGAGAAGAAAATATTTTAGAGACTTTAAAAAGTTTTAATAGATGCATGTAATTCTTTTTTTTTTTTTTTTATTATTATTATTTATTATTCTTTATAAATTCATGCAGGGTCACTACATAAAGATCTTGTTGTCAAAAAAAATAAAACTAAAAAAACATAAAGATCTTAATCTGTATAGGGCTTATTCTACATTCATGGACAACAATAAATCAAATAATTGAAACTACCAAGTAATCCAATGCACAAAATAAAAAAAACTTATAAATCAAATTAAGTAAACTAATAAATATATTGGACTTAATTAAAAACCCAACAATCAAATTCATTACATTGTTTAATATAAGGTTTATAAATCATCACTTCATCACTTGAAGCACATCAATTGACTCAACATTTTGAGTACTATTAGGAGCCAGAAGACCATCAAATACATCATTATACTCTAATAGCACATTATTATCAATATAATTATAACTGGAACTCTCAAGAACACTAAAGTCGTTCATCATAGTATTATTAATTGTACTAGCATATCCCTGGTCAACAATTTCACCGACTCCACCACCACCACCAATGTCCACTCCATAGCCACGGTCAGCATATTGGCCACTAGCACCACCGATGCCGGCCACTCCATCTCCATACCTTTGGTTAACACTTTCGCCATGACCACCACTAATGTCAACCATTCCATACCCATGGTCAGCATTTCCTCCAATGTTGGACACTCCATACCTATGGTCATCATATATGCCGCGACCACCACCAAAGTCGTTATTGTTATAACTCCCAACAAAGTTAGGGTTCATCATAGGATTGATTGTACTATCATACCCTTGGCCAGCATATTCACTGTGACCACCACCAATTCCGGTTTCTCCATACCAATGGCCATCATATTCATTACAACCACCACCAATGTTGTTGCAAGAACTCCCAACATGAAAGTTCATCATAGTACCATTAACTGTACTACCATAGCTAGAACTCCCAGCATCAAAGTTCATCATAGTACTATTAACTGTACTACCATAGCTAGAACTCCCAGCATCAAAGTTCATCATAGTACTATCAATTGTATTACCATACACATGGTTAACAAATTCGTCACCACCACCAATGACGGCCATTCCATACCCATCATGACCACCACCAGTTCCAGGCGCGTACCCTTGGTTAACATATTGACCGTGACCACCACCACCACCACCAATGGACACTCCATGATGAGGGTAAAAATAGGGATCCGCCATGACAGGGGGCGGGACCTTACCGGCATCGGGCCCAACAACGATGGGCCTAGACAACCTCATTCGTAGGACCCGGGTAAAGTCGTCCTTACCCTCC